GGGGCGGGCGGGCACGCTCGCCGGCGGATGGTGGGCTTCAGTTCTGGGGCGTCCCTGCTCGTGCTCCTTCACTGGCGGCAGCGGCGGCGGCTACGACAGCGGCGGCGGGCGGCAGCGGCAGGCGACTCCACTTTCAAAATCTATTTATAGTCTTTTTGAGACATGTTCTCACTATATAATTTAGGCTGGCCTTGAGCCCATTGTGTATCCCAGGCTGGCCTTGAACTGGAAAGCAATCCTCCTGCCTCAGCCCCCTGAGTGCTGGGCTTACAGGTATGTGCCACCATGCCTGGCTCATTGTTTCCATTTTAGAATCCACAATATCCAGAAAGGCCTTTTGGGGAAGGGGAAACTGAAAACAAAGTACTGGCATCTAGTAAATGCCTGTGAACCTGAGAGAATGTGGGAAGGGAGAAAAAACAAGCTGAGCTGGACGTTGCATCGAACTTTTCATCTGAGACTGACACACTTTCATCTGAGATGATACACTCCAAGCCCTCTCCTCTGTTCCTACGGGTCCCTGTTTGTCACTTGTCACTGCTTCCTGGATTATCTCCCCACCCAGGCAGTCCATGTGGAATGTGTATCATGTGCGTGTCCCAGTGCTTGGGCTGCCAAGCTGGGCTGATTTGTCTGTCTCCCCCACACTTGCAACGTTTGTCATCTTCTGTTTTTGGCTCCTTTGTGGGCTTAGCCTTGTCTTTCTATTTCTATTTAACTTAACTGTCTATAACATTGTGACTTTTTTTTTTTTTTTTTTTTTTTTTTTTTTTTTGGTGGAACTGGGGATTGAACTCAGGCCCTTGCACTTGCCAGGCAAGTGCTTATTCTACTGAGCTATCTCCCTGGCCCAACATTGTGACTTTGAAAGTGTGGTCTTCATACCAGGGCAACTTTTTCTCTGTTTGTTCTCCCAACATTTTGTTGTTGTTGTTGTTGCAGTACTAGGGATCAAACTCTGGACCTTGCTCTTGCCAATTCCTTCCTCCTTCCCTCCCTCTCTCCATCTCTTCTTGTCTTCCTTTCTTTGTTAGAAGCATTGGGAATTGAACCCAGGTCCTTGTGCATGCTACCTCTATCACCGCTACCACTGAGCGTCATCTCCAGCCCTTTTTATTTTATTTAATTTATTTTGCAGTACCGGGGATTGAACTCAGGACTCTGCGCTTGCCAGGCAAGTACTTATTCTACTGAGCTATCTCCCTAGCCCTTCCAGCCCTTTTTAAACTTTATTTTTCAACAGGATCTTGCTAAGTTGCCCTGGCTGGGCTTGAACTCATGATCTTCCTGCCTCAGCTAGCAGAGGTGCCATTATACCCCTACCTGGCTCACTCTGAAGAACCAGGTGGGACTGTCTTCCTCTAGGGGGGTCCCAGGCCTAGCCCCCCCCACTCCCGAGGGACACTGTATAGTACTGATAACCTGCGTCCTGGTAGTTGATGAGTCTTTCTTTCCCACTTGTGGACATTGCTTGAGGGTGGGGCCCTGTCTGAGTCATCTGTGTTCTCTGGTGGCCTTCTCTGATCTGACAGTTGTGGGCTGATTAGACGGAAAGAGGAGGGGAGGGCATCACAAGCAGCTCACAGCTCACTGGTTGAGCCTCAGGCCCCAGGACCCTGGTGGTAAAAGCACAGGCCAATGTTAAAGGACTCCTTGTCTAACCTGCCAGTATATGAAGGGTGAGTGTTTGAGCATGTGTGAATGTGTCGGCGCAAGT